CACACACACACACACACACACACACACACACGCACACACACACAGACGATCGCGGACAATGCCCCTAAGGAAAGTGGTCGACTTTACTTCACCAACCTTGTGTGTGTCGTCACGTTCGCTATACACAACTCCACGAAAACAAGCACGAGTTGTGAGACAGAGAGAGAGAGAGAGAGCGTTGTCGTCCAGGTCAAACAAAAGAAACGTCTGCGACAGTTAGGAAATACACTCTAGATACGGTCGATATGAGCACACGGCACAGCCGTCATGCCTCTGTCCCTCAAAATACATTACTAGCTACGGTAGTACATTGTAAACTGCGAAGTTTAGTGAGCGCATACTGTTTCTTAAAAAAGAACTTAAATCAGAGAATAGCAAAATAAGTTTAAGCGACGAAGACATTACCAGGGAGAAGAAATCATCACCCACCAGTAATAACCCCAAAATACATTACTCCCAAAAAAACATCATACAACTAAAATAGAAAGAAACAGAAGAATCATATACTAATAACGGTGATGATGATTAATTCGCATCCATTACGAGACTGTGCTCACACGACAAAGGGTTCCTTCCTCGTGTATCCCCGAATCATATGTCAAATGCGCATGCGCATCTAACGGGCACCGTAACGGCGGATAACAGGAGATCCACACACCCCCGTTTCCGTCAAGATTATCGTCAAGATCTTGTTCCGTCGCGCTCAGCAACATCAAACACATAAAAATAAACACACTGACAAAGGAATGGCCGAAAGGTGTGACGCTACAAGGACTCTCTGTGTCTCTCTCTGCTCCTCCTCCTCCTGTAAGCGTGCAAAGGGGATGAAAACCGTATTACACTTGCAGTACGCACACTCTGTCCCGTCTCCTCGTGTTTTTCTCCTCCCAACCCTTTTCCTACTCCGTCCTCCTGCGCGTGTGTGTGTGTGTGTGAGAGAGAGAGAGAGGTGCCCGTCCGTGCGTGCATGTGTTCGGGTAGCTGTGTGTGAAGGAGAGGGAGGGACGGGAAGAGAGGGAGAGCTGTCTCCGTGTAAGTGAGACAGACTCCGTGACGAAAGATGGCGCGCACTACTTACCCTTGCTCGACGCGAGCTTTTCAAAAAAGTTGAATCTTCTGCCCGCGAACAGTGTTCTCTAAATTTGCGCGTCTTCCTTCTCTTCGTTGCTTCTCCCCCTCCTATTCGTTGCTCGCTCCTAGGGCTTCACCAGCGTCCCTCTCTCTTCACATCTCCGTTTCTCCTTTCTCCGTCCTCGACGCTCCAAGATCGCAGCTAGATAGTCTGAACACAACGCGGCACACACATGGTACCCCCAGCGGCCTGACTGAAGAGAACGACTGATCCTCCAAATACAATACAATGGTCCCACACGCCAAAAGAAGACATACGCGAGTTACCGGCCCTGCCGGCCCGGCAAAGGAAAGAGACGACCCCGACAAAACAAGCCTTTTCGTGCCGGGCCCCGAGCCGGCTGGCCCGGTATCCGGGACCAAACCTCAGTTGGTCTGAAGCGGCCAACCCAGGCAAAACGGCAGACGGGTAACCCTCTGCTTCCAGCTGCTCACGCCGGTTTGCCCGTCTGGGACATTACATCCAGTAGCCTTCCGTTCTGCAGCCACGTACTCGGGGTAGGCGAGCATCTGGTTCCCACTAAGCTGAGCAACTCTCCAGCTGCTTTCTTCATTGTTGGTTGATTGCTTGGGCGCGAGCCGAGCAGCTCTCTCTCTCTCTCTCTCTCTC